TCTGCTTTCTCTCATTTATTTTTCTTTTTTTGTCTCCTTCCACAATTTTTAATATTTCTATAGTAATTTATAAGTAATCCTCTTAATTATTTTGATACTTAAATTATTTCAGTTTTAACTGAGTGGGTGGCATCAGCTTGGTGTCTAGAATCTTGTGACACCCCTATCCAGAGTTTGCTTTGTTTATATGTGTATTTTAGCTATTTCTAATTTTTGGCAGAACACAATAGTCAAGGCATAACTTTTATCTGCTACATTCACTGGTGGAGTTATCTATTTGGTTGATATTTACTGAGCAATAAAATAGAGATCCGGGTGACAAAATATTCCCAGTATTACTAGGTTATCTTTTCATTTGTTCCTCTCAGCAGGTACAAATTGGAAATGTATTCAAAGACATGTGTTCATACCTCCATATACATATAAATATGCAGCATATGAATTATATAGGTATATAAACACGCTTATAGATGTAATTTTAGAAAACACGTTCACATTGATAGCTCCATATCTACAATAGATTCTTGATATCCTTCATTCCATATGTCCAGACGTTTTCCTTTAAGATGAGAATCCTGTCTGCCAGTAATGTATTTTATTCATTTTTCCAATCTGGTAATGTCTCTAAAATACTTTTAAAATTGTTTTCTCACTGTAATCAATAAGTCAACTAAAAAAGAACACAGGGTTGGCTTATGATTCTTCCTCCCATTATTTTCTGTCTAACACTTAACTATTCATGTGCAGAGATATAGATAGATAGATGATGATAAATAGATAGATAGATAGATAGATAGATATACATACATACATACATACACTCATAAATATATATGTGTACTGAGTCCATTTAGTGGTGCTCATGTGTACCTGTGTTTAGGGCTGGGATTATTTGCTTTCTTTCTCCCTTCTATCCTTCTTTTTTTTTATTTTTATGAGAGATCTCAAGAACCCATCACTTGACAATAATCAGAATTCAGTCTTGATTTAAATAGTGTAAAAAGGGTTTCCAAAGGTAACATTGAGAATTACCATTGAGGCTTCAGTTCAAAATGGAATGTTTTTAAACACCCTAGTGGCACTTGAAGCCATTGTGATTCAGAAAAGTAGCAGGACTTTTTTATTAAATAATGTATTCAAGACAGGATAAATTTTAAAGAGCACCAAGGGTCCTTCATGTAAGGGCCTACATTTTCCAACCTCCTGAAGTCATAGTAATTCTGTTAAGTATCTGTTGAACATGGGCAGTGTATAATCAGGTTGTTCCTGGGAATGTCTGCATCTCACCTCCAGTGCTGAGGACAGGAGGAGCAAGCAGAGAGGCCCAAGGAGGGAGCGTTCTTTGGTCTCTGATGGGAAGGGTTTACATAAACTCTGTGATGTCCCTAAATGAAGAGTCATTGGGTTTTGTTTCATTATTTTGTCTGAAAAATCTGAGATTGTGTGTTGTGTGTGTATGTTGATGTGGACCCTCATTGACCAGATTCACCATGAATCTGGTTACTCAGACCTGAGAGCCGAGAGCCAGGCCTCAGCATTTCCTCCTTGCCATCATTCCTAAATTAGTAGTAAGTTCGCAAATTGTATCTAAAAAATTATCCTAAATTGTCCATTTTATCCTATAAATGTATTTGTTGAAATGGTCTCTAGTCTATTATGGCCACAAATGTCATAAGTGCACGTACCACACACACACACACACACACACACACACACACACACACACTACCACAAATGTCATAAGTGCATGTACCACACATACACACACACACACACACACACACACACACACACACACACACACAAAGTCGTGTCCTGTACCTATTTAAAACCCCTGTTAGTTGTTAAAGCAGTTCTGAATCCCTGTGTGTGATGTGGTCCTTGCACCTTTCTAATCTTATGTGAGCTGCCGAACACTTGCCACTCACTTGCTTATAATTTTAATTCACTCATCTTCCAAAGACTTTGCTCATCTGTCTCCTCTGGCTGGAGTCCACCCTTGACTCACCCGCTATGGTTTTTAGTGTAGTTTTACTCTGCACGTCTTCAAACCTCTGGCTTAAATGTGATCTCATTCTACACTCACCAACACAACATCCCAGTCCTCAAATTCATAGAATTTCTCTGTGTTTGTTCTAGATTAGATGTTTACTTCTTTGCCTGCCATCCCCCAATAAACTACACATTTTCGAGAACAGGGTCATACTGGTTCTTCTCGGCACCCTTTCACCCCGTAGCACAGAACCTGACATATGCACCCAACATGCAATAACTTTAAGTGGATTAAGAAGTGCATGTAAGGCTTAATGGTTATGTTTTCCTACACCAGAATCTGAACCCAACTCAGAGCAATGTTGAATCTAAACTAACTGGATATTCAACTTAGATACTGAGATTTCTGTACAGACAAACATCCAGGAAACATCAATTGTTCGTTTCATTTTGGAAATCACTGTTAAATCTGAAGTTCCTCACTCTGATTTGCTATGTATAAATTAACCTATCCAATTTTGGGAAATAAAATTGTATTTTTTCCATAAAATCTTCATAAAATCCTTCTTTAATGTTATTTTTTTTTCATTTTATTCAACACACAAATATGTACAAGATAGTAGAGGTAGCTATGATACAGATGAACTTTAAACACAAATCCGGAATGCAAATATTTTAAAGGCAATAGTCAGTCAGTGTTTTCTTAACGAATAACAGCTTTAGATGTTCATTTTCCTTTTATGAAAGCATATTTCTCAATACTACCTATGTGATTTGTTTTTTATACTGACTAGGGAATACGGATTTTTGAACATGGACCATGTTTTTTCCTGTAACTGGAATGTTGTTGCTTCAACCCTGCATCACTGTCACTACCGTTTTTATTATTTATTATGTCCATACAGAGCTTACTCCTTTCTTGAAAAAATACACATATTGTTATTTTGTCACTAAAGTTCTTAATCTTACTAAACAAAGTGTTGTCTTTTTTGTAGCTTCTAGGATCTGAAACATGGGGTAGTAATTTCAAGCATTAAAAATCCATTTTCTGGATACTGTGTCTTTATTAGTCTTTGTCAATAGAGTTTTTAATAAGAAACAATACAGTTTTGGAACTGGAGTGAGACTCACTAACTCAAGACTCAGATTTAATATAGCAAAAAGTAATCAAAATCAACACAATATCAAAACTCAAACGATTTTCATAGTCCTCATACTATACAGCTTATTAATCTGGTGCTGCTGGTATCTCTAGAGCTTTAAACTTGGAACTTATTAAAGATTGATTTTGCTGGTTACCAAAGGGGTAGTGCTCCAACAGAACGATATTGGAGTCATTGAATAAGAACTGAAGAACAAATGCAAAGTGAGGATGTGTGAGAACCCAGAACTGCTAAGAAAGCACTGGCATTTTACTTCAGGCACATAACCAGAGCACTGGGGAAAGGGGAAAAGGGAAGAGACAGTCATTTAGAGTGATGTATTGGTTTATTTTTAAGTCGGTACAGAAGAAATAAAACCAAACCAATGACTAAAAAGAAAACCTAAAATGTACCTGAAAAGCCACCCTAAAGGAGTAAAGATGATCAGAGAATGAAAAGTAAGTGCAGGTAAAGCAATCCAAAGGACTGTATCGTTACATCAGTGAGTTTATTGTCATCAAAATCGATTATCTCAACAGTTCTTGCTTCTGTAACCCAAAACACACCTTTATATTTTATTTACAGCAAGACTGAGGTACTATCCACCAGTTTGCTCCTTTGGTTAATGAAATAGAAGCCAGTCAAACTGTTTAATGGAAACCCACATAGGTTGGGTTTGATATTTATTATGACTGGGAACATAGTTTGGTGCATTTTCTCAGGGGCTGATTCTGAGATTGGCTCTAATTAATATTTTCATGAATATCATGGATGATAGAATAAGATAAGCTTGATAAATTTTCCCATTATACCAATTCGGGTAGGGAAAGTAGCCACGAATTGGACTGGATGAACTTGATTGCAGTTTAAGTGACCTTTCTGAGCTGCAGCAGAAAGTGAGCCATGGTTCAGATGAGAGGAGGAGGCTGGGAAGGAGCCATAAGTGAAGAGAAACTTTCATTCAGGCTGTTCTTAACATTTTAGAAATCAAGTTCATATATTTTTAATATCAGCCTTACAGGAAGATAAAATCATTGCTCTGAAGGTTGAGGTGGGATTAGTTTGACTTTTCCTAACTGTAGCAGAGAAATAGGGTGACATGGTGACATAGAGAGGGGTGGACCACAGTTAAATAATTGCTAAATAAATTTGCAGCCACACACCCCACTAGGGTGTTAGATTATATTGTGTAGTAATGTAGGCTTGTTATACTTGTGTTCTCAAAATGGAGTGTGATTTGAATCAATGTTATTACCTAAACATCTCAGTAGCACTTCCCTATGTATACAGAGTAGAAGACAGTATGGAATAACATGACTTTCCTGGAAGGATATGAAGACTTTTCCTAACTACAAAGCCAGTTATGAATTTCTGATAAGATGAGCAATCGCTTAGAACAGTCATCTATCTTCATCTTGAGTTTCCTCCCTCCCTTCCACCTGCTTTCCTTCCTATCTGCCTTCATTCTTGCCTTCCTTCCTTTTTCACCTTTAATGAGTGATAACTTGTTAATGAGGATCTTTATTGTTTTTGGTCAAGACATAATCTTGCTATATAGCTCAGGCTACCCTCCTACGCAACTCTCTTGTTAGCCTTCCAACTCTTGAGAGAGCAGAAGTGCAGCACCACACAGTAGAGAGAATGATTTCTATTAAAACTAAAATTTACACATGGATTAAAAGCTGAGCTAAGAAAATTTCTTTCATATGCCAATTTTACCATTAAACATCACGTAGGTATTCTTGACTTATGCAACTACCAAGTATGTATTCAGTTTCTTATATTTTAAATATACTATTGTCATGGAAATCTGAAAGTGTCTTTCAGATGCACAATAATATTGCAACTTATTATCTCTTCTTTTAGGCCAAATGGCAGGTGACCATACAAGGCTGGAGTTTCATAACATAGAGACTGGCATCATCACAGAACGGCGGTATCTTTCTTCTGTCCCTTCAAACTTCATTGGACACCTACAAAGTCTAACATTTAATGGAATGGCATACATTGACTTGTGCAAAAATGGTGATATTGATTACTGTGAGCTCAATGCCAGATTTGGCTTCAGGAACATCATAGCAGATCCCGTCACCTTCAAGACCAAATCGAGCTATGTTGCCTTAGCTACATTGCAAGCCTACACTTCTATGCACCTTTTTTTCCAGTTCAAGACCACATCCCTAGATGGACTAATTCTGTATAACAGTGGAGATGGAAATGACTTTATTGTTGTAGAATTAGTTAAAGGGTAAGTACATCTCAGTTCAATGACAAATAAGCTGAGTGAAAGTGAACCTCAGTTTCCAAATATACATGCAATGTTTTGACTTAATAAGGCAGTAGGCAGGACAAGGCAACAAATAATGCACTTGTTACTACTATCTACTAGGGACCTTCAGTGAATCTAGAAACAGTGCATTCATTTGTATCTACATTTACACATGCGAGGTGCAAATAACTTCAACTTCTAGTTTATGACAGGCATCCTATGAATGTCTTACTCCAAATGTGTATTTTCCAGCTTCTGACGATATAAATGTACAAAGGGATTTGTAGACCAGTCTGTGCTAAATTAAATAGTAGATTTAAGTTATCAGATTACATATTTTACAAGATTCCACTAATTCTGTGATGAATAGTTCAGAAAGGATGCTGTGTTAATGAAATGTCTTTGATGGTGTGGTGAAAAATTGGCATATTTTCATGATTTGACATTATTCACGCACTCAGTGAATATTATTGTGCATTCAAAATGGGCTAGATAATATATCAAATAATGCACACACCCATGCTCCCACATGCACACACTTGCATAAACACACACACACACACACACACACACACACACACACACACACATTTTCCCTTATCATCCTTGTGTACCTCTCAGATTCCTCCCAACTTTGAGCAGTACACATATACCAATGTACAACCTTAGTGAGTACTGGTGAGTGTGAAAATGTAACAGCAACTCACTATAAACAGTTTCCGGGGATGATCATTAGGAAATTCTTGGGAGTCTTCAGGTAACTAGGGAGACAAATGGGGCAAGGAGTATGCATTAGAGCTTGGCCTTGAGGGATGAGTGCATATTTTTCCATACAGGAATAAGGATTCAAGGTGAAAAAGAACAGCAGATACAGGAAGGTAAGAAGAGTTGCCACATCAGTGTGGTTAGCGTGAATGAGGGGAGGATGGAAAAAGGGAAAGTCCAGTGGAAGGAGATCTCCCCCTTTACAGCTTCACAGGATGTCCAGGAGGATGAAACCACAGGAACACAAAGTCCCCACTGTCTGTGTCTTGTTAGACATCACCACCCATCTAAAAAGCGATGAACTTTCCTCTGCTTCACTTTCTTGCTAGGTACTTGCACTACGTGTTTGACTTGGGAAATGGTGCTAACCTCATCAAAGGGAGCTCAAATAAACCGCTCAATGACAATCAGTGGCACAACGTGATGATTTCAAGGGACACCAGCAATCTCCACACTGTAAAAATTGACACGAAGATCACAACGCAAATCACTGCAGGAGCCAGGAACTTAGACCTCAAGAGTAAGTACTGGATAAGTCAAAGCCTTGAAACCCCTTCCCCATCCACAGGAGTGGAAAATCCCCTCTGCTCGGGCAAGCACGCATATGCCTTCTGCAAAGGCAGACCAGAATTTCATTTCTAGCCAATGATTAATAATGCAACACAGAAGTCTCTGTTCTCCCTTTACTGTGGCACGAACATAATGTATTTTTAATAGCAGCCCAAAATGCAACACCTACGAATGCATGCACGATTAAAATTTAAACATTGAGAAGAATGTGCTCATAATCTTGATATTGCAAACCAAGGGAGACGGTTACATGTTTCTTCAGCCCCAGCAGTTCTTAGTCGGTTTGCATGTGACCAGATATGCATTGAGTTTCTTCTAGAGCCTTACTTCTCTTCTCTTGGTGGCGCTTCTTAGCTTCTTAGATGCTTTCAGACTCCCTACCAGGAGCCCTGAGCTTGATTTATCCTTTGTGCTCTACAGTGAATTTATTTTCCTGACTTTTAACACACACAGGCCATGCATACATATACACATTCACATACTCATACACACTCCTGCACACATGTGTCTACACACACACACACACAAACACACACACACACACTCACTCACACACATACCCTTAAGGAAATGTTTTCAATGGCTGTGTAGAAAATCTTAACCAGTATTTTGTTTCTTTACTAGTACTTAATTTTTTCAAACACTGATGCTAATAGGAGAACATAATACATGCTTCTATTTGAATGGGCCTTTCTGATTCACTGAGAATCATGTCCATATAGTCCAGAATAATTAGGAGGAGAATGAACATTGGAGAAAATTGCATTGGCATGTTTCTGTGACTGTAGGAGCTACCATCCACCACCAGGAATAAATCGCTACAATCCGCCACCAGGAATAAAGCAACTACTAGATTAGAAAGTAAACCCAGATCTAACTCGGGCCCCTCCGTGGCCCCTCTTGCTCTGTCCTGATGCATTGCAAAACCCTGAGATATCTCTGCAGGCATATTTTTCTTGAAAAGAGCCGCTCATATATATTGATGGGATCTTTCCCTTTGATTCAAAAGGTAAGTACGTTGGGGAGTTAGAGAGCTGGAAGGAGACAGTGCAACAGCAGTCTTTCTAGAGAAAAATATACCTTCAAAATAAGGCAAAAGAAGAAAGAAAGGTGTTTCACAATCTGTAATTATAGAATGTATTTACAATTCTGCTTCTTTATTTGACCACACTTAAAAGGCGTGGTAATGCTGACTCCTTTCTTTCAGAGTGAATCCCTGGTTAACTTCAAAGGAATCTCATTTGCCACAAATCTAATAGCTTAACTCAAAACCTAACATGAAATTCAAAGAAATGCAGTTTAACAAGCCCTACCTGCTTCTCTTTCGTCCCAGTGGCAAAAATGAACTGATTAGATTTTGTTTCCTATTTGGAGGTTGCTCCCATTTGGCATAGGGGACCTAGCTTCCATCTTTAAGACAAAGAGGGGGTGTAAAATTCAGTGCACTGTCCAGGTCAGCAACTATGGCTAAAACAAACGACACCCCAGCCATGCAAGAGAGATCTCAGAGAGAACATTTGGATGTCACCGGAGACCTTAGAGGCCTTGCCAGAGATCAAAATGACTAGAAGTGTATAGTTCACCACTGGTGGAAGAACGCAACACATGTAGCCCTATGCAGAACACAGTTAGTGTGTGCCAGTGGCTTATGGCTCTTCAGATATTTAGGACACCATCTCGTGAAAGTAAACATTACTTACTGTTATTAAAATAGATGAGTGTATTAGGAGACTGTGACAGGATGCTCTCCAGTGGGAATGCATGTGGTAGGGATAGATATAAATCTTAGATGCAGCTGCTGTTTCTTAAAACATGGACTGTGTTTTAATGCTGAATATAAGGCTGACTTTAAACATAAAATAACTGAAAATGTGAATTAAATAAAGAATACATGATTAATATGCTAAGCATGGATTTCTGACTGAGTACACACTGTTTATTTGAGACAGGGTCTCCCTGTAGTCCCAACTGGCCTGGAACTCGCTATGTAGACCAGGCTGGGCTCAACTTCACAGAGATCTTCCTATCTCTACCCCCTGAGTGCTGGAATTTGAGGCAGGTGCCATCATGCCTGGGCCACTTTTTTTAAAGCTCAGTTTATGTCAGGGGTGAATATCCCAGATGAATTATTAGATTTGTGTGGTTTTTTGTGGTGTATGTGTACATGTATAGGCACATGTGTATGCTTGACTATGTGGAAGCCAGGGTAGGATGTTGGAAGTCCAGCTCTACCGTGGTCCTTTGAGGCAGGGTCCCCCACTGGGCCACAAAGCCCAGTCCTTCTCCAGTGCCTGCCCTGGCAGGGCAGTGCTGAAACTATCGGCAGGCCTTTTGCATGGGTGGTGGGATAAGAACTCAGGTTCTCCTGCTTGAACAAGGAGTGCTCTTACCACTCCAGGGTTTAGCACCTATATAGTTTTCAAAGATCATCCCCTTAAACTCAGTGAAGTGTCTGTGCTTATAAACCCATTAGACTAGGCCAAAAAGTGAAAGTTCCTAAAATTAGGCCAAGGTTTCCACTTAAAATAATGAATGTTTGATTTCCAATGGCAGCAATAACCCCAAGAAGCTCTCTGGGGAGAAATCATGGTCCAACTATGACATCTTTTCCCCATCATGCCCCTCTTTGCTCTGTGGGGCTGTAACACTAGCCAGATGGGATTTACTGAGAACTGACTCTCATCTGAGAGTGAACAGAATTTGGAAGAGGATGACAGGGCCCTGTTGTGAAAAGCTATTGTCCCAAAGAGCAGTTGACTATGGACCCTCATATGCAAGACAGAAAAGAGGGCAATGCTGGGAAACCGCATCTGGCATATTGAAATGAAGAGGAGCGTGGAGACTTCCTGAGGAAGTAATATTTAAGGGGTATACTGAGCATAGCACCAGCAACCAGGAGCTGTTTCTCGTTCCACCTGGGTACCTACAGAATTCTAGTACAAAAATATGAAAGCCAGGACTCTATCCCCCACCTTGACTCAGGTGGAAATGGTCACAAATGAGTCTCCATCTCAAAGTCCATCTCTAAGGATCATTATCCTTCGAGAAGAGCGATTCCATACAGGTGACCAGGAATTAAGGACGGGCTTATGGATATGAGGACTTCTATAGGAATTCACTTCCTGAAGTGACAGTGCATGCTAGTCATGACCGGTGGAGCCATTATAAATGCACGGAACATGAAAACTGCCTTATGTTTCTTTTTACTGAGGTGCATCCTTCAAGAGTGACAAGTGTCCGTTATTGCACACCCTCTTCGCGTCACTACGGACCAAAATCCTGCGAAACGCAGATTTCTGGATCCCACCTCAGTCCAGCTAGATGACGCACGTTAGTGTCCTGAAACATGGACTCTGTGTTAACCAAACTTCAACATGTTATTTGCTTTTTATATAAATCTTTATTTTGGTTTTATTTTAGAAGTTTGCTTTTGTCAGTCCTCGGGGCACAGAATTGGACAGGTTTTTGATTTCTTTCAGTTACATTACTATACCTGAAATGAACACTAGAGGGCAGCATAAGGCCAGAAACTATATTGTGTGCTGCTGGGGCGGGGGCTTGACCTGCTCTTTTTGCGCTGTGAAACAGAATTGCTTTGTTTCCAGACATCTAAAATTCCGCATTTAGCCTTCACAGTGATACAGGCATTTGTCTGCAACCGTGTTTCATCTTATAAGCAGAATTCTATTACAGAAATACGAAAGCCAGGACTCTCGTCCCCACCTTGACTCTGGTGGAAATGATCACAAACCAGTCTCCATCTCAAAGTCCACCTCGAAGGATCATTACCCTTCGAGAACAGGAATTCCATACAGGTGACCTTGTTCAAATTATCTTTCCTGACACTGCCACGGTCTCCGGGGTGTGTGCCTCTCCCTGCTGACACTGTTTTGCTTTCGTCTTTATTTCCCAGCTGTTTGTGTCTGTTCCCTCTGGCTGTTATGTACAAGCTGCAACACGCAATGAAAGTAGCGACATTTGCTGTCCGGAGAGATTTTCTTGCATAGCTCTCTATTCATTTTGGAACTTTTCAGTCCTGGCCCTTTTAGTGAGATAACGCCTCCTTGTTCTTCTCTTGTCCTATATTTGGCATAGGTGTACGTGTAAGTGTATAAGGAGCTAATATTTATCGAGTCCCTATTAATGCACGTAAATGAGGTTATTGTATGCAATCCTTATGAGTGCCTAGGGATTTGAATTGAGGTCAGTCTTGCTTATTCATTTATCTAGTTCAAGAACAAAAACAGAATGGTTTTGGGTCTCCACCTTCCATGGGTGTCCTTCGTTAAGTATTGATCCTTTAGCAAACTGAGGCTCCTCTGATTGCGACTAAACATGTTCCTAAGTGCATAGCCGAGAGTGCCCTCCGGTGGCCACCCAGCAAATTGCACAAGATGAGTAGGCCTGTGACATCTAGGTCAGCCAGGCAGTTCCTATACCTCTTATTCATTCTCTCTCTCTCTCTCTCTCTCTCTCTCTCTCTCTCTCTCTCTCTCTCTCTCTCTCCCTCCCTCCTTCTCTCTCTCCTTGCTCTCTCTCCTAGCTCTCTACTTCGCTCTTCCTTCATTTCTTTCTCTCTCTCTCTCCTTTCCCCTCTTCTCTCACCTCTTCTTTCTCTCTACTCTCCTCTCCCTATTCACTCTCCTCTCTCTCCCCCCCTTTTCTCCCCCACCCCAAGGCATCCTCCCCTAGGGATTGCAGCTACTGTGTCCTCATAGCAGGACATAACAATGAAAATGGAAGAAATGTCCCAAGATCCTATTGGCGTCTTGTTTGTAGAGAAATAAAATTTGCTAACATTAGTTTGTCTGAGGTTACTTTAAGGATCATTTGGAAGTTAGAGAGACAAGAAGCCAACAATGAAGTCCCTCAGAGGATGAGGACTGTGCTCTAATTGTTGCACTGGGATCTCAGGGTGACTCAGGTGTTCCTTGGATCTGCATGTCCCCT